CTCTCCCTCACTCCCACTCTCAACTCTCCACCGCCCACCGGATAACCAAGGAGTTGCGGGAGCGCTGCCAGATGGCGTGGCTGCTCGGCACCTTCCGGTCCGATCAGCTGCCGCCTCGACGCGACGGCGGATCGGGCTCCCAACATGGTTGACCCTGTCCGCACCCCTAAGCCGCCGCCTGTCACCGGGACCCTTCTCGTCCGCGCGATCGTTGTCCTTATCCCGCAGCCATCCTCCTCCCAGGTGGCGCCCGCGTCCCTGGACGGGGCTGAATCAAGCTCCGGCGAGGAGGAGGACGACATCAACTGGTCAGACATCGAGAGGGAGGTCAGCGAGCAGCTCTCGGAGGCGCTACAGGCCTCGCTGCTCAACACGCCGCCCCCACAGGGCCGCGGCTCCTCTCATGCATTGTCGTCCCAGCCGCCGCGCCCCCCACCTCCTCAGAGTCAGCGCCTACCCTCCCTGCCGCCGTGAAATAGTCCTCGACGGCTCAAGCAGCTCGTAGCGCGGAGCGGTCACATCCTCGCAACACTCGATGTCCTTCGCGATGTGGCAGGTGGCGCCGCTGCACATCCTCGCCGACCCACAGCGTGCTATCGAGTGGGCGCTCGACCACTCGAAGACGACCAAGGAATATGACGCCCGTCGCCACCGGCGGCTCAACACCGAGGCGCCACGGGAGGGGATCCTCATCTCCGAGCGCGAGGCCGGCCGGCGGGCGGAGGAGAAAGCCAAGGCGCTCCGCCACGAGCGTGTCGCCGCAGCCCAGGACGGATGCCGCGGCGACTGGAGCAACGATGACGGCAGCGTTGGCGGCAACGGCAGAACCCAGATGGTGTTGGAGATCCAAGTTCAGTTCATTAGGTAGATTAGAGTAGCTTAGCTAAGTTTTATGTAAATTTGAACTAAGTTTGATGTAATATATTCGAACTATATCTGAATCTAGTTTGAAATCGTTTAAATGTCCGGATACCGGGTAAAAAAAATTGGTTTAGCGTTGGGTAACTGCACTCCTAGCGGTTGACGTGTCCACAGACAATTAGGGGTTGTCTGCTGGGGGATAACGTTGGAGATGCCCTAATCAAGTTGGCCAAACTAGATTTCCTTTTTTCAACAACGAGATTCAACTAGCTTCTCCAATAATATACAGATAGGTGCTGATGCGCTGTCCATTACTAATACTAACAAACAAAAAGAACTAGCCAGGTAACACATCTAATAGTACACTTAAATAAAATTCACCTTTAATCGGATGAACTGATCAGCTAAAGACAATTCCTCACGGACCATGTCCATTAACCTGCCAGATAAATCATAGTTAAATATCTATTTTGCTAGTTATTATATATAATATATTTATGTCAAACTGTAAAATCAATGAGCATTTTAACACAAACTTTTGAAGTTAGTGATGTAATGTCAAGTAGAGCCCAAAACCAGAGCAAAGAAAGAAAAAGGGCCAGAGTCAGGAAATACAAAGAGCTGATGGAGAAGGAAGTAGACCAGTAGAGAAATGAAATGAATCCCAAATTGATCTGCTTCAATAATAATAACTATTATACGGTTATGCCAACCCCACCGCAAAACCTAGCAAACCCCTATATGCTACATAAGTGAACCGGAATTGCAACTAGCAAATCACATGTCCATCATTGTCTTCATATGCTCCCAAAATCATAGGAATAAAAGCCATATTTGTTATAATCTTCTTGACTAAAATTCTCTAATCAGTTGGTTGCGCGCTTGCTCTTTCTTTCTTGTTTGGTTATAGCTGAGTGTTGTTGCAGTTGGAGAGGGGCTTATCAGACACAGGATAAATGGTGTATGCCACGCTTTGGGAGAAAACACGACATTTTTTTCTCTGAGTAAATTGAAAAGAGCCAACACACTATTATTTGTACAATCTTCTTTCATTATGATTTCGAAACTGTCACTTGTGATAATGCATGCTCTGTTGCCAGGTTTCTAGTGACAAGTAGAAGCAAAAAATTAGTTGTCAGTTGTTGCCAGGATACACTGATTAAAATCCACATTGGGCATAACACAAAGGCAAATTAAGTTGAAGTTAGCTCATCAAGGTGAGGAAACAAAGTAAATAATCAGAAACACCATTATCCAGGAAGTATGGTAGAACATACAGGTAGAGATCAAGATCCTCGATATTAATCAAAGCACCGTTCAAAGCCATTAATGACTTGCCAGGTGGCACCATTCGCTGGTTTGCTATGATTTCATCTTTGATTGAATCGTCAACCTGTACGATATTAAAAAGTTGTTAATAATCTGAACCTGGAACAGTGGAAGTAGTTCATATGAACTTCCTTACAAACAACACCTTTACAACTCACTTTTTTTCAAATGTCATTACTTGTGTGCATAGCTGAAGGTTAAAAGGGAGCTCCAGATATGGCACTTACCTTCATTCGTGATAGTGAAGAAACTACACTTGGGAAATTTTGATTGATTTCCTGCATTGACTGTAAAGGATCTGATGCATGAAGAATCCTCTGTGCTGTTTGATGACCCAAATCTGTAGTGTGGAGAAGAACATATATAAAAGAGGTGCTTCTATGTCATCACATGATGCACAGTTATAACTTGTAGGACAGATAGAATCAAGACAATGGCCAACAATACCTTTGAGTTCCCAAACTTCAAGTGTGTCTGATACTGTTGATGACAATAGATAATCCCTGAAGGACATTATCTCAGCATTTAGCTCTGGCTTGCGTTCCTAGAGAACAATAGACGAGGATAAAAAAAGATGAATACTTTCTCCATATGCAATAAATAGTCACCATAGTTATTGTTATGACTAAACTAAACGAACCAAAATCTTGGAAAATATGAACCCTCTGACTTCTTGACTGAGGTCCTCAGTTTTAGGATCTTCCAGTGCAACACCTGGAAAAACATAGTAAGGATCATTAAGATATGAAATTTGTGACTGAGTGTGTGTTATACGGAAGAACAAAATAAGGATCATTAAGATTTGAAATATGCATACATATATATATGAAACGTTTTTCCTACAACCAGGTGTGGCTACTCTCACGTGCCAACTCTAACAATGTAGAGAGTATATAGCGCACTGTAGAGTGCGCGCCCACGATTGGACTCTAAAAATGTAGAGACTAGAGAGTATATAGCACACTGTGGAGTGCGGGCCACAATACAAAGTATGTAAGGCCATGTAGGTAGTATATAGTTACTATTTTTTAGGTGGTATGCATTCTTTTGGACATACTCCTTTTTATGTTCAAACATATACGGAAAATGCATCTTACAAATGAGTGTGGTTAGGTGATTTTACATACTACCGCTACAAACTCTCTAAGTTGTGACATTCGGCATGTCAATATAACTACACCTGGTTGTAGGAAAAAGGTTTCAATTGAGTGTAGTTACTCCCTAAGGTTTGGCATGTGGGAGTACCTACACTCGGTTGTAGGACAGAGGTTTCAACCCGGTGTAGTTACTCCTACATGCTGAATCTCACACCTTACAAGAAGAGAGAACATATATAGCTGCCAGCTACGATGCCCAGCTCAGCCACCCACCCGTACGCACACAGCATCAAGCAGCCAAAAGACAAAAAGGGTTGAACTCGTCTTCCCAACTGATTTATTTCAGACAAAGAGGTGTGTGTAAGTTATTTTTACTTGGTCATTTTCAAGGGGATGCAGCAGATTTACTAAATCACATATTGGAATTCTTGCTTATTAAGAGCTGAGTGGAGATGAGTGCATGCTCGGTGCAAATAAAACACCTAGCACAAGCAGAGTTACCCTTCTTTATAGCAGTGTCATCCATGGCTTTGTATTCCATGTTTTTTAGGGCGAGTTCCACCCCATAACCACTCAAAGTGACTGCATCTGCAGCACCAATGGAACCACAAAAGCTAGATGTAGCCTGACATCCAGATGGCAGAACAGGGCGCAGTGCATATCTGACTTTTCCCTGAATACAACATATACTATATATTAGACATTTGCAGCTTACAGCCAATGCAGCAAAATTAGAGAAGCAAAAGAAGACATAAAGTGTGATATGATGGCAAAGAAAACTAGATTAATAAAAACAGAATCAATTTCACCATTAGAATAAGACACATTTGACTATCTACAGACATGTTCAAAGTTAAAACCATTACATATGCGGTTGCTGTCCAGGAAGAGGTTAATACATATACAAATTATTCAGGATCCAAATAGTAGGATAACCAAGTACTATCATGCAGAGGTTTGACATGATTCATTGAAACAATATATGTTCAGTTGCTCACAAATATTACCAGTGATATGACTACATTCATCTAAGTTCTATTACCATGTGGAAGATGAACTTCCAGTTATTAGGACTATCAACTAGAAACAGCAAGAAGCAATAGGCTATCAGTGATTACGAGGCTGTTTGGTTTGTTCACCCCCAAGTTGCCATGACAAAATATTGGCAAGCCATGTATTTTGGTAATTAGATGTACTTGGCAAAGTTGCATAGGCTACTGGTTTGGAAAGAAATAGACTACCAACATTTCCATGCATCAACATGCATGTTACAACATAGAATCATGAACGAGCCAAAGATACTCTGGGACTTAAAACAACCACAGTTATTCTCTACTCTCTATTATCTATGTTAGTTATGTGTGAATAGCAAGGAAATCAACGAGGTACATGCAACTAAAAGAATGGCAGCTACATCTGAAGCTACAGAGCAAATTCAAGAGAAGGTGGGAAGGAATTTAAGGTCCGACATGGAAGCAAAACAGGCTGGTGGAAGATAATTCTCTGTTCCTTGATTCAACTGAAGCTGCACAATTAAATATTCGGCTTGAACGATGACTTAAGAGCAAAACCTAGCAAAAAGTGGCTGGTAATACCAAAATCTAGCATGGCGCACTTGGGCTCCAATACAAACAGTCCATATGTTGACATGGTAGCTAAGCACTCATTAAAAGTATCGCTCTAACACCATATATATTAATGGGTATTTGATATACAATGCCCCTGTATAAGACCATGTATCTTACTTTCCATGGTTCATTGTTTTCTCAAGACCTCGGATGCCTTGAAATATACCAGAAAACAAGTCAAGAGTATGTCACCTGCTTTGATGCTTCTGCCAGATGAACATGCAACTCTTTGAAGCATTTTGTCCCAACAGCGCCATAAAATATAGCAACTGGAGCAGTAATATTTGAGCGAGGATATACATGGTCAAAGTCAAATAGTTCAGGTTGTCCAGTGGAGTCCGTAGCTCTGTTCAACATAAGTTCTGAGTTTCAACCCTGTAGCCAGAAGCCCTAAACAAAGTGACTAAGAAATAAAAGATGAAGATGCTTACCCTTCGCCTGATCCCTCGAGCCATTTATGTAGATCATCTGAGTTGAAAAACAGAGTGTTTCCTGTATCTACCCAGCAGCAAGTTCCTTCCACAGCACCGCTGCCAGAAATTTGCTCTAGTGCATCATCTTTGACAGGAACTGAAGATAAAGATTCCTCTGCAAGCTGCCTATAAAGCACTAATCTTGGCGATGCTGATCTAAGTGTAAGAGAAAACTCAAAAATTGAAGCCAGTGGCTCGCTGAGAAATGAGCGAACATCCTCAACAATCTTCTGGGCACAACATTTAGCTGTCAGACATTCAGATCCTTTGTCCAGTTCCTTCCAATGGCCAATAAAATCCCAAAAATAATCCTTCCGTTCTTTTGAAAGCAGTTCACTAATCAAAGTAGTAAACGGACAGGATTAGGTATTTCCAGAAAAAATAACAAGTAATATTGGCCAACAAAAACAGTGATGCAAATATTCATTAGCATGTACTACATTTATCTATGTTTCCTCATGGAAAGATATTTCTCGATTAGATCTAAAACGTACCAGTACAGCCTCTGGCTACATATAATAAATTTGGCTACAATAGCACACAAAGATAATCTTGAGTCAAGAACAATGAAATAAATTTACTACCAGCCTTCAAGTGTCGCAACGAAAGCAAATGTTTCAGCCTTCAAGTGAACAGAAGAGACATGGTGCTCTTATCTGTCACATTAGAGTCTAATAGTTTATGAAACATAAAACCTCATTAATCTCTCACTGCAATAATTTTGTAATTTGGTAGGATTTGGTTTATTATAAACACCATAATTCATCTGGTGAATGTGTGTTACTGAACCACGAGTGCATATTACTGACCGGTGAGTGGTATTCTAGTGTGTTGCATAGTGCGCATGACTGTTCGACAACATACTATACTAATAAGTTTCTAACAATTAGAAGGAAACGACTGAATTCTTAGCACAATTAGCTAAACATATTAATTAACCAGGCATCGGCAGAATGGCTCGCTACTAGTTTCCAGGATCGCCAGGTCCCAGTGGTAAACCAGCAAACCACAGAATGAACTTACTGAGGACCACTAAATCGGTGCAAAACGAAAAATCTCGATCAAACAAGGACAAGTATACCGGCATATCGTGCCGGAAACCACTCACCTGGCTTCGAGCAGCAGCGGCGTGCCGGCCCACTTGGCCCGGAGCGCCACCTGCACGTTCTTCTGTCGCCTGATCTCGGCAACCGAGACGCCACCACCGAGGCATCCCACGAGCACCACCGCTAGCAGAGCGAACGCCGCCCACGAAACCCCAGATCGGGACCCTCCTGTCGTCGCCATGGGGGAGGCGCGCTTCGACCCGAGGCCCTCCCGCCGCTTCGATCGGAGTTGCTACACGACAGAGGATTCGGACTGTGAACCGCACATCAGGAAAGGATTTGTGAGGGTTTTGGGTTCGTCGCCGACGAGATGCAGAGCGCGAGGGGCGAGGAGACTTCGCCGGAGACCCGGGGGCTGGGGAGTGGTGGTGTGGGGTTAGTAAGCTTTAAAATAAGGACTGACCACCGCCGTTGGATCGAGGATGAACAGAAGATCTTTAGTTTGAGACGGTAAGAGCATCTTGGGCCCTTCTGCTAAATTTAACGTGTAAAATTTAACCCTCCGTATCATCACTACCCTTTTTTCCTAAAAAAAACTTAACTCACCGGAAAAAAACTCATCAATAATGTCATGTTTTTACAGAAAACTTTCAATCTACTTATCTTCAATCATAATAGTAGAATGAATACCAGAAATAATAAAAATTACATTTAAATCCGTAGACCATCTAGCGACGACTACAATCACTGAAGCGAGCCGAAGGTGCGCCGCCGTCATCGCCCCTTCCTCGTTGGAGCCGGACAAAACGTTTGTAGTAGACAGTCGGAAAGTCGTCGTGCTAAGGCCCCATAGGACCAGCGCAGCAGAACAGCAACCGTCGCCGATGAAGAGTTGTGTAGATCGGAAGGATCCAAACTGAAGTCACACGAATGTAGAGGAACTATGACTAGATTTGAGCAAATCCACCAAAGACAGATCCACCAGAGACACATCTCCACACGCCCCACCGACAATGCTAAACACACCACCGGCACGGAGCTGGACGGGGAGGACCTTATTCCATCTTCAGGGAGCCACCATCGTCTCGTCTTCCTGAACAGGGCACAAACCCTAACATAATTCGAAGAAACATCTGAAAAACATAGACCTTCCGCTGGCAAAGTGAAAGTACTAGTTATCGACTATAGGGGGTGAATAGGCAATTTTTATGAAAGTCTTCAAGACAAGCAATGTCTTCGAAGATAGACAATCAAATAATACCTAAACAGGATGCAGCGGAGGATAACCTACACTGGTCATGCTACAGTCAAGGAAACAGTACAATGAAAGCACGAAGACAGATAGCAGCTAGGTAGAGCAGATCAAAATAGGAAGACATTATGAAGCCAATTATGCAAACAGAGATGATAGTCTTCACAAATGAATTCAAATGGAACAGACAAGCATAGACTTCACGAAGCTAAACTGTAAGTAAAGGGTGAAGTGACAGAACCAGTTGCTTGACGAAGACAAAGATTTGGTAGACCAATTCCAGCTGTTGTGACAACTATACGTCTGGTTAGGGAGGCTGAGATTGAACTGAGAAGACCACGTCTTCACCTTATTCCCCTTGAGTTAAGGTCACTTAGTTCTCGCCCAATCACTCAGGTAAGTCTTCAAGCACTACTAGTGAAAAGCCTAGCAGTAGCGCGGGTTAAATGCTTAGCAGTAGCGCAGGTGGCCATGCTATTCATACGGCGCTACAGCTAACGCTTATCAGTAGCGCGGTTTGACCCGCGCTACTGCTATCTAGGGATAGCGGCAGCGTCGGTCTCCAACACGTGCTGCTGCTAATAGCTGTAGCGCCCTTGAACAAAGAGCGCTACTGCTAAGAACTCGATGCTGCTAAAGTCATACCCCGCGCTACTATTATTAGTTTCTGAATTTTCTTTTTCTCCTCCATATTTTGTGCTGCTGAATTTTTTTAGGGCTTTATACAATAATCTCTATCATATCATACACATACAAATGTAACTATAGCATATACATACAAATAGTCTCATCAAATCATATCATCATCATAATCATCATCCAACACAAAGTCGTCTCTCGTCATCATCTCGAATATAGCGATACAAGTCTCGAATACTTGCAACTACATCGTCATCCATCTAAACAATGATATACGCGAGAAGAGCTATCACTATGAGTGAGAGTGAAACTATGCAGTACATGAGGCGACGGTTATGAGTCCTCTCTCGCGCTAGCGTGAACCTCAAGTAACTACTTCTGCTTCTTGTTTGCTTTTGAAGCCTTTATGGCTGGCGCCCGAGACCCCATCCACTTGTGCCTGACACTCAGGCCACTCGTCGTACACTCCTGGAACCTTCCCTTTGTACACAACATAGCATTGCTTCTTCATCATCAAAAATCTAGGTACTTGTTAGAGATGCATCTTCATCTAGAGAATGTACAATCATATGCAACAAAAAATACTAGAGCAACACGGAAAAGAAAGGGTTAGCAACTAGATGCAACATATAGTACGCAAACTAATTAACTAGAGGTACGTAGGTCATCGTACCCAAACTAACAAAGTAGTGTTACGCAAGTTCGGCATGGACCGTAGACATCACAAAGTTTCATCGCCGCAGAAAGTATACAAGTTCAACCGACACATATCATCATCAGCATCGTAGATCACTAGTAGTTTCATCCTTCCATATCATCGAGGATGGACCCTAGCTTCTTGAATGGCGTGAGGTCCCAACGTTGCATGCCTATGCGAGTTCGGACGTCAGCTCGCGATATAGGGCCGTGATGGAACATCCCCTTCTCATCGATGACTTCTTTCATGGTGATCGTCGCAATGTCCCTCTGGATGCGAAAGAAGTCATCTCTAAGTTTATAATCTGCTTCTCCATGAGATTCTACCCACTTGCGGATATGATCATTGTTTCTGCTTGTCATGCGAAGCTTTTGGTGATCCGTGCTGAACTCAATCATGAGATGGAGGAGGTGGAATCCATCTTTCTTGCTTGGTTTTGGGACATGGATGCTCTAGAAGTTAGTTTTATGCAAGAAACCCAACGTCTTGTTCCTCTGTGTAAGGTCATTTCTCTACTTTTGTGTTTAGGATGATAATGACAACTCTCCGTTGGTCTAATCTTGTGTTAGGTGCTTCAGGTTCTCGGTGATTAGGCTTGCATCATTTAGTTATTCTCTCTGGAAGGAAAAGATCGAAGACGGTGTTTGTCTATGTGTTTATCTCTTTGGTCGTAGGAAACCCGTACTATTAAGAGGGAATCCACATCGGAAGGAGTTGGGTGAATCATTGCACGTACACATTTTCCCCACCCACCTTGGCCTTTTGTTCCTTGCTTGAGAGAGAGCTCTCCTTAGTTTTCAACCGTTGTTGTGATCTCTCAGCGGTTGTACCGCTCGCTCGAGCGGTTGTACCGCTGGCCCTTGGTACCGGCCCAACCTCCCCCCTGGGGGTGATACCCTGGGGTTGAACTTCCCAGTATATGACCAAGCGGTTGTACCGCTGCCCTTGGGCAGTGGTACCGCCACCACGCTTAAAAGTATCTGCGGAGCTCATTGGCGGTTAAACCGGCCAAGTACCGCTCAACTACTAGACATGGTTCTAGTTTGATGCGGTACTCGGGCGATGGTGGCCCGGTTGTTCCGGTTGTACTCTACACACCAGTACCACCGGTGCCCTAAGCGGTTCTACCACAAGGACTTAGCCACCCGGGGTACCAGGGCTAGGCGGTTGCACCGGCGCAGTACCGCTCGATCACCGCTCACAGGGGTGACTCCCTTCTGTTTCAAAGCGGTGGTTGAGCGGTGGCTGAGCGGTTGTTCTTCACAACCGGTACTACCGCTTGTTTGTCCGGTTGTACTGCTTGGTAGGGTTTCTGCAGTATACCCGTGAGTTCGGGTTGTACCGGGATGAGGAGCGATTGTACCACTGCAGTGCTGTTTTCGCAGTAACGGTTGGATTTTAGGGTTTGGTATATAAGGGAGGTTCTTCCACCTACCACTATCACCTCTTGCCTCTTTCTCTCCACTATTAATTCCCTTCAAGCTTTCTTGCCCGATCTCTCTCTCTCTCTAGCTAGCCACTCAAACTTGTTGAGTTGCTAGTGATTGAAGGAGGAGACCTAGATCTACACTTCCACCAAAGGATACTTGATTCCTCCATACTTTCTTGTGTAGATTTTGTTACTCTTGGGTGTTTGAGCACCGTAGACGGTTGAGGTCACCTCGGAGCCACATTCCATTGTGGTGAAGCTCCGTGGTTTTGTTGGGAGCCTCCAATTCGGTTGTGGAGAGAGCCCCAACCTTGTTTGTAAAGGTTCAATCGCCGCCTTCAAGGGCACCAATAGTGGAATCACGGGATCTTGCATTGTGTGAGGGTGTGAGGAGAATACAGTGACCCTAATGGTGTCTTGGGGAGCATTGTGCCTCCACACCGCTCCAACGGAGATGTACTTCCTCTCAAAGGGAAGGAACTTCGATAACATACCCTTGTCTCTGTCGGCTCCACTATTGGGTATCTCTCACCTTTACTTGTGCAAGCTTATATTGTGTTGTATCACTTGCTTGCTTGTGTGCTTATTGTTGTTGCATCATATAGGCTGCTCACTGATGACCCACAAGTATAGGGGATCTATCGTAGTCCTTTCGATAAGTAAGAGTGTCGAACCCAACGAGGAGCAGAAGGAAATAATAAGCAGTTTTCAGTAAGGTATTCTCTACAAGCACTGAAATTATCGGTAACAGATAGTTTTGTGATAAGGTAATTTGTAACGGGTAATAAGTAATAAAAGTAATAAGGTGCAACAAGATGGCCCAATCCTTTTTGTAGCAAAGGACAAGCCTAGAAAAACTCTTATATAAAGGAAAGCCCTCCCGAGGACACATGAGAATTATCGTCAAGCTAGTTTTCATCACGTTCATATGATTCGCGTTCATTACTTTGATAATTTAATATGTGGGTGGATTGGTGCTTGGGTACTGCCCTTCCTTGGACAAGCATCCCACTTATGGTTAACCCTCTTGCAAGCATCCACAACTATAAAAGAAGTATTAAGGTAAACCTAACCATAGCATGAAACATATGGATCCAAATCAGCCCCTTACGAAGCAACGCATAAACTAGGGTTTAAGCTTCTGTCACTGTAGCAAACCATCATCTACCTATTACTTCCCAATGCCTTCCTCTAGGCCCAAACAATGGTGAAGTGTCATGTAGT